CTGATCCTTTTTTTCGCATGCAGTATTGAATGAAGGTTTTACGTAAGTGCTGCAAAATGGTACATATTTGGCTGAAAGTTGGCAGGAGATTGATACTCCAACAAATAACTTGCTTGGCAAATGCTTGAAATTCATTATATTGAGCATTGTGAAAGTTTTAAATTTTATGAACTGCATGTCTACTTTTAATATGCATCTTACAATTATTGATGATATTGAAATACCTATGAAACTTAGGTGGAGCCAGATATGACAATAGGACCATTCAAGTTGAAGAAGGTGTCAGAAGAAGACAAAGTCTTCTACACAATGACAGTGTTCAACATGGCGTATAGTTCAAAGGTTGTTTATTTTAAACATATATGTAATTGTGAGCGTGTGTTTGTAAAGTAATTCATCTGATGAGATAAAAAAATTGACTAAGCATAGGAGATTTTGTGTCACCTTGTTTTGTTTCAGGAAAAATGATCAATTCAGTTTTCAAAAAAGTATTTTATATTCTTAAAGATCCTGTATGTTTTGTGAATGATATTGTTACTGTGTGTATACCACACTTTCAAAACATTATATATATTTTTATTGTATATAATTATGCAAATAAAACAATTTTAAAACATCGAAGACTATGTAAAATGTGTACTGCAAACATTTGTGCACATTATATTTAATCAATAAATTACATGCATACATTTCTTATTTTAAAACATCGAAGAATGTGTAGAATGTGTACTGCAAATATTTGTGCACATTATATTTAATCAATAAATTCCATGCATACATTTCTTATTGGAAAATTTGACTAAGATTTTATAGAAAATAAATTTCTAATTACCTCCCTTTATTTACATGAAATGTTAAATTGGATAATATCTATATAAATAATGTTTATTGGAAGTTACAATATTGACAAATCTTAATTTGAGCATCATATTTATGTAACAAAAACTATGAAGAAATTGTGTTATAAGATCTTTAATTAAAAATAATATTGACATTATTCAAGTAGTTGGTGATCTGTAAATATTTCCTTATGTTGCACTAACAAACTTTTATCTTTTTTAATAATGACAAGAAAATAACATCGTTGTAGACTAAAAAGATCACCCAGCTTGAGTTTAAAAATTGGAACACCGACCAAATCACTCCGACTGATCCTGAAAACATGCTTCATTTCTTGCAAGAAGTAGAACGTCTAAACAGAATCGCAGCCGACAGTCCTCTCCTTGTTCAATGTTTGTAAGTATATGAATTTGTGGGGCACACATATTTGTTTCTTATTACAAAGATCTAAAGTGCATTTCAATCCCCAAACCCACAGTTAAATCCCAATTTCAGCAATGTATATAGTTTTCATTTATACAAGAAAACTGTTGATGACCATCACGATACTGCATTGCGTTTCAATTAAAAAATATTTACAAATAAGGCTATAGATATAAAAGTTAACAAGCACCATTGTACATCAAAAGACATTTGTTTGAGCACAGAGCCTAATAAATGTATTTTTACATCAATTTGCATAAATTTATACATGTATATCATTAGTACCGGTTATGTCCAGGAGGCAAAGTCATTCAGATATGAACATAATAATAATAAATAATCCTTTTTAGGGATGGATCAGAAAAGAGCGGACTGTTTATAACACTGATGAGCATATTTGAACGTGTCAGACTTGACAAGGAAGTGTGTATTCCACAAGTTATTAGGGAACTCAGATATATTCGTCAGCAAATACTCCCGAACTTTGTAAGTACTTTATTGTTTCTAATATAGTCAAATAGTTTAAGAAGTAAGTAACACTTAAATTAATGTATTAAACTAAAAAAAATCTACTCAAAGTAAGCCTAGGGAAAAGACAACGGCTTTAATAGGGTATCATGTCATAAAACATCATGCCACACTGGGAAAATCTGTGGTCTTTATGTGCTTATTTTTATTAGGAAGTGAATTGCATGAATTTTCCCTTATTAAAACTTTTATAGAGTTATCTTCGAAAGTAGTTCGATTAGACTGGTTGGCGTCACATAATGTCCTCTATTGATGATAGTATAAGTCGATGTGGCCATATTGATGTATTTCCATATATAATTGTATCAATGTTTTATAAATTGTTTCGTGATTTTCATTTCACATTCTGTTTATGTTCAAGAATCTAATTAAACTTTAAAAAGGGCATTCTTTCTTAACGTCAAATTGAAAAGGATGAAAGACCATTTAAAAATTGTAACAACGTTGTTAAAACTTTTCAATGCAATATGATTTAGTGATAATTATCATTTTTCATCGATACGAAATTTACCTTTATAAAAAAATGTAACCGATAAAGAAGTTACAACTATTTATGCAATGTATCTTTTTTTGAAAAAAGGACATATGTCACTATTACATGTTTTCTTTTCTTTTTTTATTTTTAGGAACAGTTCCAATTCTGTTATAATGCAGTCCTTTGTTACGTTGATAGTCACCAAATGTACGCAAATATGTAAAACCCATAAATAAAATAGCCACAAAGACATTGTTTATGTAAATATTTGTGAAATATACTTACGAAATATCATTTTTGACTTACTTTGAGGATTAAAACTTTTTTTTCTCTTTTTTGTGTAAAATGTATTGTTATCGAATATATTTGATAAATCTCTACAGCCAATGAAATGAAAGTTTCTTTTTCATGAAAGGTGAACTGTATAAATTGTTAATACCACAGGGAAATGATATAGAAACACATAAAGCGTAATACATGCAAACAAAGTATCAGAATCATTTATAAATAAGTAACATGGTCGATCAATCTGAAGCTTGTACATAGATACTTATGTATGTGCGTAACAGTTGTATTACTTGTATATACTTTGTCTTATTTGTATATAATTTTTCTAGAAAATATATAAATATGTACATGTACTTGCATGAAGGAAAGCAATATTTTAACACGAGTTAAAACTGGGATATATATGTACTGGGCAAAATTTATAGAGTGAACTTATGCATAACTATTTAAAACAAATAATTCAATAGTTACATTCTTTGATGTATAAATTTATAAATAATATTTGTGTAGTTTGTTCATCTTAATAATGTTCCTTTTAACTTTTTAAACTAAACTCTTATGTATAAACTATGTACACCCTATTGACTTCTGAGCACATAAACAACACAGTTATCATTTAAAGTCCACTTGTACTCGAAACATTAAAAATGATATATTTTCATTTGTTTGTTGAGGTTTTCATGCACTGGTTCTTAGTTTGCTACTTATTTAAATTCATTTTGCTCTTGTTAATACAAATATTTACTACTTTAGATTTTTTAAAGGCGCCTAAATATTAGACAAACCACAAGTCACGATGCTGGTGTTGGTTGCAACAATGAATAACCGTTTCATACATCATGTAAATGACAATGCAATAAGTACACTTATAACATATCATGATTTTTTTATCAGGCATGAATTGTGTAAACTTTCGTAATAAGTTTTAACATGTTATTTTAAGGAAAAGTTCATTATTAATTTGTATTATACAATTATTTCATAAATATATATTTTGTATATTCAACCTGTCATGTGATAAGGTGAATATTTTATAATATATTGTTTCAATATTAAATGTTTAATGTATTTAACTATGCCATAGTTTTAATTTGATGCAAATGAGAAGCATTGTATTTCATATAATCAAATAATAATTTTATCAGCGTCAGAAAACAGTAGTGCACCTTATTTTTGCTTTGTATGCAATGACCTAAAATAAAAACTTTTATTTTACTAAATTTACGATATATTTTTGACAATACAGGAGAAAATAGTTCTTTTTTCTATTATATGCCTGTATTATTGTTAATATATTCTTTCATTACTTTGTATATAGAAAGGTTTTTTACAATATGTCTCATTTAAACCTGAAATAATATTTGAAATCCAGTCAGTGGTTTTATTAAGCTGATATCTTGTATCCTAATAAACTCCAACCACATATTTTGAGAAATGAAATAATACCATACAGCGCATCTAACAATAGATTAAATTTGAGGTTAAAACATAAATCCAAATTTGCCACCAATTTTCAACCATGCATAAGACAATAATAATTTGGCTAAACATCCTCCAAACCTCAAGTCATAAAATTCATAAATGTAAAACTGAAAAAAGAAAGGCATTCTTAATGTCGTGTATTGGGCTTGATCAGGTTTCACGATATTAAAATGCTTATTAACCAAATATCATCATCTTTGGTACATGAACAAAAAAAATTGAAATTTACCAGTTTAAAGTAATGAAAATGTGTCTTAAATATAATCATTTCATTACATTTTTCAATACATGATTTAGTCAAATGTGTGACTTCAGCGTCCTTTTATCTATCTGGCCATCCGGAATCATTGATTCCAGCACATTTAGTGTCGAAAATTAAATACAGCAGATGTTACGGATAGTGCGAGATGTTGCAATTTAGATGATCTCTCATGACAAGACTCAATCAATCACAGAACTCTGTATAATTTTGTAGTTTCCAAAGCTTCCAAAGGATTGTCAACCTTTTCCAGCTTTGAGATTCATGGGTATCATGTTTAACCCATTAGTAATTGTGTTGAATATCGAAAGGTCTAAAAGGTGTTTGAACCGTTACATATTATCTTGTTAATTTTTCTTCAATGTATACTTTTAAGTCTCAAAATATGTGGTTGGGGTTATAAGTTTTGTTAAGTGTATATCTTCATATCGATATAATATTCTACTGATTTCATCTATGTGTCAATTATTAGACAGTTATTTAATATATTTCCAATTACGGCTGCCAATGAGTGTTGAAATTGTATATAATTCTTTGTCCTAATGCATGTTCATTGTAATACGAATTCTTGATTGTCGGATAGCCAGACCTAAAATGTTATTTTTTAAAGTGACATTATGCCCATCCAAGGGTATATAGTAAGTGAACGGGTGAAGATCAAAATAGGTTTTCATTTTGCCATAATCCCATTTAATTTTATAATTAAGTTCACATAAACAATAAATAACACACACATCCAAATGAAATTTCTGTAAATATCCGTTAGACTTTACGTATAACGCTTAGTTTATAAAAAAAGTGGGGCAGTCTTTTTAAATTTTAGGTAGATTTATAATTTTATCCTAAACATTTTCCAATATCAACTGTTGGTCAAACACCATTTTGACAGTCAAGTCAATTCAGCTCAACTTGACTATGAAAATATGAGCATAATGTCACTTTAAATAGAAAGGAGTAGAATATCAGTAGAATATCAAATACATGTATATGCTGTAAACATATTGATATATTCTTTTAACCCGTCACTATTTTATTGCTATTACTTCTTAGATTTGTGCCCTGTTAGGTAATATTTATTTTTGTTATTCCAAACTTCATGAACAGGCTCAATTTAACCGAGCCAGCAACATTTTCAAATTTGCCGTGTTTTTCTTTTGGGGTTCTGTTTTTCTCTATTTGTATTCATACATTTGTTCCAGTAATGGTTCTGTAAAATAAATCTTTTAAAAGGAAATGAGGTGTTTTTATCTTTCAAAATAATATAAATCAAACAGTGACTTTTCTGAAATAGTTATTAGAACGTTGTTTGTAATTCAATTATATATAGATATAAATCGTTTACTTTTATTATACCATCTTCACAAATATTCTTGAGACAAATACTTGAACATTATTTATTCATTATTCATTAAGGACGATACATGTGTAGCCGTACATATACTAATATTTGCTGTTTCAAGCAAATTATAGAATTTCACTGTAATAAACAAAATGTTCCTTGGTCTCCCATGACGTATAAACTATAGTATTAAATAATTTAAAAATGAATCACAAACTTCAAAATTATGTTTAATTAATTGAGATTAGGTTCAATGATACAATAATTGATAGTTATTCAGATGCGAGGACATGATATAATCATGATCGGTAGCTACCATGATAAATACGAACTTTGAACAATTCCATATTGATGTATTACTATATTAATGAAATTAACAACAGTTTTACCTATTAATAAAATGAATTTAAGTTTAACAAATGTTAAGTTATTGAGGTGACACTGAGTCTGTGTCTAATTCTAACATGCTTTACACTATTCTCATACCATACAGATAAGGCATACACGATTTATGCACATCATAAAAACAAAATTAATGCTTACACGCAATATGACGTCAAATATGACGTCATTAAACCAAATGTTAGGAACGTCAGGAAAATTACTTCTACGCTCAAAGTAGATCTAGTTCAACATATTTTCAACAATACAATTTTTACTTTGCACATAAGAATGGAGTTAGATATTAAATTTTCTAGCATTATAGTATTATAACGCACTTTTTATCGTTCAAATACTTTGTAATTTATCACCCAGGCCTATTTGCCTTATTGATTATAATATTGTGCATTTGAACTCAAACAGTGCATTATTCTACAAAATGCACTCACAATTGATATCAATTACCAAAATAAGATATTGATAGGCTTATCATAACTATACTTCGTAATTGATATTACTTGTGTAGCTACAATCTGATATAAAAAAGAACATTGGCCCGAAGCAAACGTTTAACTAAAGATGTAGCAAATTCCCTTTATATTCACCAAATGTGGTGTTACCGCCAAGCTCAGTTTAACCAAGTCTGCAACATTTTAATTGTGTCGATTCCGGTGTTCTGTATTGAATCTGTTTCTTTTACCTGTTTAAGTCCGTTCTTTTAAGCAAGTTTTACATAAAACATATCTAAGGATAAGATTAGGCAATTATTCGAGGATTTACTATTAAGCAAGAAGATCATTTTAAACTAATTACAAAAATCAGTTGGTGTAAAGACGAACATGCTTATAAAGCAGAATCATAATCCGACATAAGTCTCAGGCAAACGGATATACCCGAAAAACTGGCTTTTACATGCAGTTCAATTTTTTTATTATTATTCTGAGCACTTTTATGAAAAAAAGTACAAAATACAGATGGGCAGGCTCTATGTCTCTATGTTTTACAGACCACCATACAAAATCTAGAATTTCTCTGTAAAACAGTTGGAGTCTGATTATTTTAGACATATACGAAACAAAATACATACAAGTAAAAAGGAGGGGAACAAACCTTAAACGTAAAACAGACTCCATAGAGTGTAAAAATAATGTAAAGTTGGCACCAGGACAGCGTTTTAAACGAGCAGTCATAACTTGAAAATTTGTCGGATTATAATCAAAGATGCGCTGGTCATAAAAAGACTATCTGCAAATGCGTATGATAATAAGGATTATGTTTGGTGTCCGACAGGTTGCCGCGGGAACAACAGCAGAGTAATACCTCAGTCACAAGAACAAACGGCCGCTGGGCAGAGTCTGTGTCTTCAAATAAATTGCAATATCGGCCGGCGTCCATCCGGCGACAATCGGACAGCAGAAGCTCATCGGGCGGACGTCGTCGAGTTGTTAGTACAATTTAAAAACTAATAGTGTCCGGGGTCAGTGAGTTAAAAGAAAATCATCTTGCGGACACTTCCCCGTCACCGGGGGCGCCCTGTCGAACGGCGATTGTTTTGATACAAAAACACCGTCCGATTAAAAAGGCACATGGGTGGACATCGCCCGGGTCCCACCCGGCATACAAATAGACACCTAATGGCGAACGGTTATCGTTTGGTACTTGACGATTTATGTACAAGCATCGTGCGGTCATCGTTTTGTCGTGCAGCAATCGTGCGGCTGGTATTTGTTGTGTCAAAGAACAGAAGCAAAATTGGCAAGTTCTGTATTGCGCTTCTATTTGTTTTTTATAGACACGGTCATCATGAAGTTGCGGACAGACCTTTCTTACAGAAATCAGCTTTTTTTCTACTTCAAATCGAGTTTCTGACTGATATTCACCTTCTATGACCTCGTCATGTCATTACTGACCGGTGGTGGCTTAGTCTCAGCCTCACTGACCATTCCTTGTATCTAGCAACTGCCTTATGTGTTGGCATATTGACAATGACTTATAAAAGAATATCATAAAGTGTCAAGGCTTTATTTCCCGCACCCATTTTATTTGTGAATCTCACAAGCTGTCTGGACATTGGCTGGCGACCGCTCAATTATTTGAATGTTTTCTTGAAAATCAATTCTGCAAAAAGTAGCCCGGCGACCATTTCATTCATGACCATGCAAGGTGTTAGATTTAATATCGATCCAGCGTCCGCGAGATCGTCATAGCCACCAATGCCTAAAATTCGTTTAATCGTGTGGCGCTCGTTTTATTTGTAACCTAGGCATAAACGGCATGATTTTGAAATCGATTATTAACTATTGTCTGTGCTCTTACGAGCGCAGGCCCAAAACAACCCAAAAACAGGTATTACTAAGGAAACATTTAATAATAAGGTCACCGCCATTGTGAAATGCATTTCAACATTAATAATTAACAAGCATTGGCAATGTTATATAAAACCTTTGGTGTAAAGTGTCATCGTTTTGGTAAATGAACTTATTTTGACAAATGGTTAAACCCTGGCATAGACTCTAAGTCAA